GCTCCAGGATCCACCGATCTCTGATCCCCTGGTGCTGAGATTATAATAAGCCGCATGCCGCCATGCCTGACTTTTTTTTTTTTTTTTCTTAATGGTCTCTGGATGTCAAACTTGGGACCTTGTGTTTGCAAGGCGAGCACTTTCCCAACTGAGCTATCCCCTGCAGTCCCTTCCCCTCTGTTTTGTGTCATTTCTTTCCTGTAACTGCCCTGCACTATGAAGATGACTTCCTCTTTCTAAGTGGGAAAACTAGGCTTTACAGAGAATTGGGGATCGGTGCAGGCCACATGGAGAGCCTTCCTTCGGGTCAGGCTCCTGTGTTCATTAGTGCCCCCATGCCTTTCCTCTGCTGACTTGGATGGTAGCCAGGTACAGTAGGCATCCTCAAAGGCCCATTTGACAGACATGGAAGGTGAGGCTGGGAGGGGTGATGGGATGGGAGGAGCTGTCATTTGAGCACAGGCCGCTGTGACACCAGGGTCCAGGCAGAGGAGCCGACCCCTCTGTGGTCTCCCCTCTCCACCTTCTGCCCTACTCCCCAGAGTCCCTCTAAAAGGAAAGCTGCAGGCTCTCTTGGGACTGTGATAACAGAGGCTGGGCACTCGGAGGGACCTCCTGGTGCCCACAGGAATAAACCAGGAGGTGTGATTAACTGCTCCAGGACATGGTTCTGATGGGGCCAAAGACGCCTCCCCCCCCCCTCCACCATCCTGGGATAGGCAAGCTAATTAATCTGGGAAAAGGTCTCTTCTCCAGAATGGAAAATAACCGAAGTCTCACATGGAGCCACGCCGCAGCTGCCTCTCTGCACACTTTCCCTGAGATTTAGTTGCGTTCAAAGCTGATAGATATGTGTTTATATATGCATATATAGCCCCATATACATTCTCTTGTACAGAAATGTTAAATTCTCAAGATTAAGTGTCTTCGGTTGGGGAAAATCAATTCACTTCTTTGAGGAGGCTGAAATGGAGAGTCGTGAGCCTGGAACTCCCTTTCTTGCCAATTTTTCCTGATATAAAAAGCATCTTCATCCTGGCAGATCGCCCTGTGTTGGCTGCTCCAAACGATTCCATTAATTGATTTAGGTGACTGGCTTTGCTGTAACCCTTATTAAGGTTCCCACCAGAACCAGGACAGCAGATGACTCCGGAGCCATCCGTACGTGGGACTCCACTCCCAAGGGAGGTAGACTACAGCTCGGCTAGGTAGTGGGAACTCGGGCCTCTGGTGAGGAGGGCCTTGCTTCTTTCTATGGTGGATGTGTCAGGGGTTGGGGCTGTGCTCCAGAATCTCTGAACTGTTCGAGGATAAAAAAAAAAAAACATAATGGGGAGAGACAGTGAGCAGGTGTATTTGACAATGGGGCCCAAGGTCTGGGTCAAGGACGATGGGGGACATCCAAGGGAAGCAGGGTGTGTACTCACGTGACGACAAGCCAAAAGACACTGAGTTTGGAGCCCTGGAACTGGAAGGTGGGACTCTGGAAAGGCATGTCACAGCGGCTTCTGCTTAGTGTCCTCTCCCATCTTGACTTGTCCGTACTCCCTGGCACCCTTCCTTGTCCCCTCACCCACCGGTGATCTCTGTGTGTCTCCTCAGAGCCTGTCTCCCTCAGTCCACCCTCCAGGCTCAACTGAACCCCTGCCTTAGACTATGATCCAGGAAAAGCATCCCTGTTGTCGTTAGGCAGAGAGAGGCCTGTGGGTAGGAGAAATGGGAGGGTAGAGGGTGCAAGGTGGAGCTGAGACAGAAAGGTATCAGGCATGGGGAGGAGGGGAGGCTGACAGAAAGGTTCACTGGTCATTCTTGCCAAGACCAAGAAGCTATAGATGACTAGTTGCATGGGAGAGTAAGTGGATATGATGGGCGAAAGGGGAAGAGCGGCTGGGTGGCTAATGGGTAGATGGGGAGGAGGAAGGATAGATGGGCATATGTAAAAAGAACAGAGGAATAAAGTGGTTACGGGTCGGATGAGGAGGATGGTAGTGTGGGGTAGGGAAAATGAGCAGATGGTCAATGAGAAGAGGAAAGGGGTGGATACATGCATGAGTGGATTAGTGGAGTGGATAGATAGATGGACTGCTAGGTGGCTGGACTAAAGGGTACATGCATGCATGGGTGGGTGCACGGATAGATTGTTGGATGAATGGATGTATGCATGGATTGACAGTGAACTCATAGGTAGTGCATCAGGAGGTAAAAGAGAGTCTTGGTGCCTCATCCAACCCTGGTTCCCACCTCTGTAGAAAACAGAATTTGGGAAGCAGGAGGCAGGAGTGTAACGCAGCTGAGGAGCTGGAGTCTTGGGAGGGAGAACGGCAGTTAGATCAGAATGCCATCGAGTCTGGGGAGCAGCGTGTCTGGCAAAGTGAAGGTGGTTGGACTTGGACGATTTGATCACAGGAAGAGCTGGAGTTCATGATTGTCTGTACAAGCAGCTGGATCGGAAACAGTGCAGCTCTCGGGAGCACGCGTGTGAGAGTGTGTTAGTTATCCACTGCTTGACAAATTACCCCAAATTTCATGTCTTAAAACAAAATCTGTTGCTTGGTGGTTTGTGGTCAGGGACCCAGTGGGGCTTTGAGAGTCCTCTGGTTCTAAGCTCCCAGAGGGCTGTGATCCAGCTATCATCCAAGACTGCAGTCACTCTGGGGCATGGCTTCTAAGCTCAAGGCATGTGCACATGCTCAGTTCCTCTGGGATTGTCGGACTGAGCAAGAGAAGTACTGTTTTACTAAGAGTTGGCCAGGTGCTGTCCTCTGCCCTTGCCGTGGGGACCTCTTCTTAAGGTAATTCATAGTGAGACAGTACCAACACCACCACCTGGGAGAAGAGCTGAGGAACGCACAGGGAGATGAAGACCAAGTCATTCGCTCAGGCGTGGCATTCCAGCCCTTCCAGAGAGTGACACAAAAGCAAGCCGAGAGGGCCAGTCCACACTTAGGAGGAGGAGGAGACAGAACTAGGGTGTGTCTGCCAGGAAATGGGGATCGTTAGAAACTGTGCAGCGCCCAGGGAAGAGGTGTGCAGAGCAGGCAAGAGGGGCCAAGAGAGGCTGACAGAGGAGAATCTGCATATCAGAAATTATCTGGAAAATGAGAAACATCTGGAGCAGAGCAAAGCCAGTGATGAGAGTCTGGTGGAGGGAAGAGGTGTTAGCGGGTTAGCGGGGAGGGGGGGGGAGCACTTGGGGATGAGCTGAGGTAGAAAGACGACTGGAAGGCGGCAAGCTGCAGAGGCGGGCAGGGAGCAAAGGCTTTGGAGGGGGAGCCGCCGAGAGCAGGGATGGCTGCGGGCAAGAGCAGTTGGGTGAAGCCCCGAGAGTCAGTGCGTCCGAACCCTGTGTGCGTTGGCTCTGAGGCAAGTGAGGTTGCAGGCGAGGGAACGACGACTCTGTGAAGAGTTTCATGCCCTGTAGCACTCAGTTGACTCCATCTAAGATGGAGTCCAAAGGCTCCTGCCTACTCCTCCGATGCCCTCTCCTGTGCCATGGCCTCCTCCCCTGGGGGCGTGCTGTGGACTTCGGCAGCCAGTTTCAGAGGGCCCATCCCTGGCCAGAGCCAAGAAGCACCCAGAGAGAAGAAAGTACACATTCCTCTCGGGCTCCCTGCCCCCTTCTGGCAGGCATGGCCTGATTCCCTGCCCTTCCCCCAAAGCCTGTGCCAGCCTGTGGGAGTGCACCCATGTTGTCACGTGAACCAGAGCTGGGCTGGGTGCCAATCAGACAGGCTGACATCACAGAAAGCCACAGCCAGACTTGGAAACAGCCGATACAATGGGGCTCTCAGAGCCACCTCTCCCCCTGGGACCGAGGCAGGGCCGGTCTCTGTTGGGACCAGGCAGCTGGCACACATTAAGTTCCCAGGAAGGTTCATGAACACCTAGCATGCCCAGACAGCAGGGGACGCTCATGCTCAGCCCTCTCTCCTCTCTCCTGGTCCCGAGGACCCCTTGAATCTCCGGGGCAGACACAGCAGCCCACCCACCAGCCTGCCCATCCTGCTCAATGCCTTTGGTCTCAGGCATGGCGCAGTCACAGGGACCTGCAGACCACTACTTCCGGAGCCTCGCCGTTCTCTCCACCTGCAATTCCCACTGCGCCTCTCTCAGTACTGAGAAGAACAGACCAGACCCATGCTTAAGTCCTTCCCTGACACAGAATATGAAAGGGGGGGCAGCTTTGCCTGAAGTGAAAGTGGGGTGTCAAAAGTCCGCTGAGCTTTGCCTTCATGCGTGCCCCCTAGTGGTTCCTGGGATACAATGCAGCTGTATGGGTAGGTTTGTCTCCAGAGGGTCTGGATGTAAAGCCTGCCTGGCTCTGCCATCTAGTCTCTGGACAGCCTTGGGTGAATTATGTAACAGTGCCTCAGCGTCCCCATCTGCAAAATGGGACTAATTAACACCTACTTGCTGTGGTTTCAGTGAAGGACCCATGAGTGAATGCAGATAGGGCCCTTAGAACAAGACCTCTATTTGTTAATTGCCTAACAAACGCTGGGGAAAACTCCTCTCGAAGAAGTCAGTCCTGGAGCTGGGACTGCAGCTAGGTCGGTAGAGTGCCTGCCTCATGCACGTGAAGCCTGTTCAACCCCCAGCACCACAGAAACCAGAGGCGGTGGCACACACCTGTAGTCCCAGCCCTTGGAAAGCCGAGGCAGGAGGATCAGAAGGTTCAAGTCATCCTCAGCTAACATGTGGGAAAATTAATTAATTCTAAAGACGGTGTGTGCTCTGGCTAAAATGCAGGGTTACCAGGAAGTGGGCCAGAGTCTGAACCTCAGCTTTAGGACCCTCCAACGGTGCACTTCCGCACCTTGCCTCCCAGGGCCTCAGTCTCTATACCCATGCAATGGGTGGTGCTCCCGGGCCCTGCAAAGTAGACCCACCCCCGAGTTGGATAACTGGAACCATGCTGAGTGAGCAAAGGGAGCAGATCACTCGGGGGAGGGGCATGCTCGGTAACTTTGGTGCCAACATTCCCATCCCTTGCCACCCAGAAATCCAAGATCTCCACCTTCGAGAAGATGTGGGCCTTCATGAGCAGCAAGCCCTCGGCACTGGTAAAAAACAACGAGGAGGGGATCCAGCGAACACTCACAGCCGACTACGCTCTGCTCATGGAGTCCACTACCATAGAGTACATCACACAGAGGAACTGCAACCTCACCCAGATTGGTGGCCTCATTGACTCCAAGGGCTATGGCATCGGCACACCCATGGGTGAGCAGGGGGGCCCAGGGAGAGGGGTGTGGCGCAGACAGAGGTCCTCAAGCCCCTTCCCCTCCTGTTACACACACACACACACACACACACACACACACACACACACAGAGTCCTGAGGATTACTCTACTGAGCCTGAGAAGGTGCTGTTCCCTCAGCCAAGGAGCAGAGGGATGGAACCACACCCCTGGCTTGGTTAGCCCTATCCTTGAGCAGTGAGAGCTGGGACAGCCTCCCCTTGCCCTGTCCCCGTTGGTACACCCACATACTCAGGGCCCCCTGGGTAGGGCCAGAGGACCCATGCCCAGTGAGCAAGGCCTCCTAACCAAGATACCTTACCTGGTCTTGGAGGCGGGCCTCAGTGAGAGGAACCCTTGTTTTAAGTTGGCAGAGGCACAGTCATGGCGGCTGGCTCTGGTAAGCAGCCCTCACTGACAAACCCCCGCTCCCTCCACAGGCTCCCCCTACCGGGACAAAATCACCATCGCCATTCTGCAGCTGCAGGAAGAGGACAAGCTTCACATCATGAAGGAGAAGTGGTGGCGAGGCAGCGGGTGCCCCGAGGAGGAGAACAAGGAGGCCAGCGCCCTGGGCATCCAGAAGATCGGCGGCATCTTCATCGTCCTGGCTGCCGGCTTGGTCCTGTCCGTGTTGGTGGCAGTGGGCGAGTTTATATACAAACTCCGTAAGACAGCGGAGCGGGAGCAGGTGAGGCCCTGGCGGAGGCTACGTTGGACAGGGAAGGAAGGCAAGGGCAAGATTAAACTGGTTTCTCCCTCCTAAGGGCATGCGCTGTCTCATCTCACCGTCCTGACCACCATCACAATCCAGCCATGTTTTCCCGTCAACCCCTGCTCCACTCCATCCCCAGCCAGTGTGCTGTCAAAGCAGCCTCCACACTGATGCCCCCACCTTCCCTTTTGCCTGGCCTGGAAGCCTCCACGCCTCTCATCTACCTGGCCTCTCCACGTTAGCCTGCCCTCCAGGTTGGCTTTCCAACCTCCAGTGTTTCCTGCCCACCACATTTCTCCACCCCCTTCTACAAGCTCCCTGGCAGCCAGTGAGTGCCCTGTTTCAAACTTAATTCAAACCATGTCAGCTTCCTAAACCCCCAGGGTAATTGTTGAAGCTGGGTGGCAGAGGCACGGGGATTCATTATATTGCACCCTCTACTTTCGCATATATTGGGAAATTTCCATAATGAAAAGTTTAAAAAAGAAAAGTTCTGAGGGATGGCCCGAGTGTGCAAATAGTGTAGCTAGTCTTCTCCTGCCTGATTAATTCAAGCGTGGTCGGGGCAGGAGCCCTGGGTCCCGTGGCAAATTAGAAGCATGGAGAGAGAGTTTTAAGTGCTAATACCCTGGCCTCACTCCCAGAGACTCTGTTTAATTGGCCCACGGTAGAGCCCAGCTCTAGAGTCTGCAGAAGGCCCACGGGGTGATTTAAGCGTGCACCTGAGCCAAGAGCTTCTGGGCTGGGGAATCGCCTCTCCGGCGGAAGTTCAAAAGCATCCAAGCCCAGTGTGGCTGACAGGAGCCTGCCGCTGGGTCACATGTGGAGGGCCCATTACAATCAGGGTCTGATAGATCCATCAAAATGAACTGGAGTTGTTTAACAATCAGCAAGCCTAAATCAGCTGAGAGAGGGGAGAGACTGCCCTGGCTGTGTGAGTTAGCCACGGCCTTAGAGAAGCCTGAAAAGGTAGCATCCCAGACGACCGCCCCACTGGAAATCAGCTGTGCAATTGACTAGTTGTGTGACGTGATCAAGATTATGGATTGTTTTGCTCACAAGGAGGTTTATCTAAGTGTGAGCCGCACAAAAAAAAACACTGAGGAAATACCAAATGTTTAACAGGGAACAGTTAAACATTAAATTTCAAAAAAGAACACCTGCCAGGGTTTTTAAGTGTTCCTGTTAAGAATGAAGTAAATTCTGAATTTCACTAAAAAAACGTACAGGACCTGGCCCTGGCTCACCTCTCAGACCTGCTCTTTCCCACCCCTGTCCTTTGCTTTCCTTCACACATGACCCCTTTTGAGTCCATGACACACCAACATGTTTCTGCCTCAGGACCTTTGCACATGTCCACTTACCTGGAGGGCACTGCCCGAAGTACTTGGGCTTCCTCTGGCCGTTAGATTTAAACTCGTCACCTCCTTAAATAGCCTTCCCTAGTCTCCACGCCCCACACCTCCCTCTTCCACATCACGGCTTTAGCCTCTTAAGAGCGGGCATGACTGGCTGGAGGATTTCCTTATTCACATGCTTGTTGTCTGTTCCCATCCCATTGCTAGACCGTGGGCTCCCTGGTCAAGTTCTCACCGGCTTTACCACTGTTCTGTGCTAATTCCCAGCATGCAGCCTTGTGTGTAGGAAATACTTGTGGGATGCAGAAAGACCAGCTGGAGAGAACAATGTTCTACATAGAGCGGGAAAGGTGGGGGACCTCCCCGGTGCCACAGCCTGTGTGCCTCCTCCTGGTGCTGATGCCCCATAGCCTTGCTGAGTTGGGCCATCAGCCTGCCTCACTGTGCACCGTCTACGTCCAGGGCCACCTCCAGTAGTTGGTTTCAGAAGCCACTAACTAGATACCTGTGGGAATGGCACACTCCTGCTGTCCCTCTGGCTAGCTGCAGGCACCATGCTCAGAAGGCCCTTAAAGGGACCTCTTCACTGAGTACCCACCTTAGACACAGGCTGGACTCCTGAACAGGAGGCGGCAGTTGGAAGACCCATCAAGATGGGTTCTCCATGTGTGTCTCAAGGGTTTCTGCAGCCCTAACTCCAGGCCACGCCTACTATTGGATTCATAGAAACAAAACCTTAGAGTTGGGGGGATCTCCCAACCGGTTCTTAAAAGCCCCTTGAGCTCTGTGCATATGGCATTTGGGGTGCTGTGGGCGCCTCTGTGAAACAGAGAGGTGATAACCACCTGCCCCTCCGCCCTTGTCTCCCGAGAACTTTCCCAGGCACCTTTCTGGGGCTCGGGAGGTTGGTGACCCTGGTGCAGGGTCAGGAGGAGGAGAGGATCTGTCTCACTCTGCCCCTTGTCCCTCCCCAGCGCTCCTTCTGCAGCACAGTGGCCGATGAGATCCGCTTCTCCCTCACCTGCCAGCGCCGTCTCAAGCACAAGCCGCAGCCTCCGATGATGGTCAAGACTGACGCGGTCATCAACATGCACACATTTAACGACCGCAGGCTTCCAGGCAAGGATAGCATGAGCTGCAGCACTTCGCTAGCCCCTGTCTTCCCCTAGACCGTGGGTACAGCGGGGACGTCAGGCCTGGTCCACACAGAGGAAAGCAAAGGAGACGGGAAGGGACATCCTCATCTCATGCTGGCCTTGGGAATGGAGCTGCTGCCTGCATCCAGCTGTGGACCGTCAGCTCTTACCTACCAGGAAACCAGTGGGCCCTAGGCCAGCTGCTTGGGCTTCATCTCCTCTTGTCTTTTCTGTGGCTTTCTAAAGCTGTGAAGGCCAGCGGAAGCACATGCCTCTCAGGCTCCCACTCGCCACCCCTCTCTTCTCCATAGCCAGGTATTTCTGCCAGGGCTCTGCGAGGCCTCAGAAGATAGCTCTTATACTCTCTTCCTTTCCCGCAAGCCTGGGACCTTCTAGCACGCAGCCATGAGAGCAGAGACTCCAACTTTGAACACCTTAAGGATGTTCTAATGAGGCTGCCAGTGGGAGCCCAAAGGCACCATCCATCCTTCCATGAACAGAAGCAAGGCTTCAGCCTTTAAGGGCTGTTCACCTGGGCCCAGTCTTCTCCACCTGGCTTCACCCACAGCAGCCCCTTGACAACACGGAAAGCAGTGTGGGAAGGAGTTTGGTATGGGAGAAGAAGAGCACACAGACGGAGGCTGCGGTCTCAGACGCTTAAGTCCAGTGTCCCACGGCACGAGTGTTTAGGAAGTCTCCGAGAACGTGAATGAGGTAGCCACCACGGCAAATTCTTCTCCACTTCTGAAACAGAGAAGAGAAGACACCCTCTCTCATAAGGAGTGTCCAAAGACTCAATTGGCATGGGAAGGTCAGCCGAAGAAAAACGGATGCTATGAAAATCCCAAAGGCCCTTGATCTAATAGACCGACTTGGCGGGTAAACAAGCCAGCATTCAGGAACCCTGGGTTTTCCACCGTCTACTCATTGGCAAGTCCCTGTCCCTGCCCATTTGAATTTGGCCTCCTTCTGTCATCCCGAAAAGAGAAGAGCAGCCCCAACTGATGGGCAAAAGAGGGGTTGGTGCCCGCCCTGCGCAGACAAACTTTGGGGTAGGTGGGAGGAGCCAGAGGGGACCTGAAGAACCTTCTGGGCATGCCCAATCTAAAGAGCCCCCTAGAGAAAGAAAGCTTTCAGGTGGAATATGAGACCTCCTGAGGCCCCCAGGCTGGGGAGGGAGAAGCTGCCCCCTGGAAAATTAACCAAAGACCCAACACAGAGACACAAGGCCATCCTGGCCCCTAGTCTCTTTTCTGGGGCAGCTATGGTCTGAGGGGATTTGGGGGAGAAGAGAAGAAGCAGAGGAGAAGCCAGGGAGGGGACAGCCAAAGGGGTGAGTAGATGACCTGTGGTTCCCACTCTGGAGGTTTGAAACTATCAAAGTCTTAGGAAAGATTCAGCTGTGAGGGGTTAGGCAAAAAGTGTCCTTACAGAGAGCATGACAGGGCCATCAGGGCCCCCACAGCTAAGGGTGGAAGTTGGTCTCTGATGAGGGACCAGGGTGGGCAACCTGGGCTGAGAACTGGGGGACTCTAGTCCCACACTCCCCCACTTTCCTGGTGCTGCCAGGCCTGGATGAGCTACATCTAGAGCTCAAGAGCCCTCTCGGCAGAGGTGAAGGAACCCCTTCAACCAAGCACCCTTCCACACTGGCGTGGGTGATGAATCCCGTCACGCTGGTTCTCGGGAGCTCTGGCTGCACTGGAGGGAGGGAGGAGAGACTGGCAGCCAAGCCCAGTGCATGCGATGATAGGAAAAGCCATGCTGGCAGGAGGGAGGAGCATGCACATGTCTGTGTGTTTGACTTTGTATGTATGCGTTTGGGGGGGGCTGATGATGAAGGACAGACATGATGGATATGTAACATAGTCCATAGCAGGCAATAATAGGGGCCTCCTTTGGGACCTGTGTGTGTGTGTGTGTGTGTGTGTGTGTGTGTGTGTGTGTGTGTGTACATGAGTGAAATGGGGAGGAAGGAGCCCAATCAGGACCAGCAACGGAGCCTCATCTATGTAAAAACAGGAGAAGCCATGTTGAGATGGGGTTCTGATGAATATATGGATGGATGCAAGTGTTCATGAATTTGTGTGTGTGTGTGCATGTACAGTTGCTTGCGCGCGCACACACACACACATATGCACACATCTGTGTACTGAATGACAGAGGATGGGGAGCAGGATACAACCTGCAGCATAGCCAAATATATGTAAAAGGAGAAGCCATGTCATCAGAGGTCCTTGTATGAGTGTGTGCACACACACACACACACACACACACACACACACACACACACAGGTGTGTGGGCTTGTGTGCCCTGAAGACAGCAGGGAAGGTCAGACGAGACTGCTGTGCCCTGTGGGTGGATGTGTGCTGTGCAGGAGGAGTCGTATGAAAATGGAGTTTGTGTGTCTGTGTGTGTGTGTGTGTGTGTGTGTGTGTGTGTGTGTGTGTGTGCGTGCGCGCGCGCTTGCTCATACCCATGCATGTGCAGACGTGTACCTAAATTCCAATTCCCATCATGAGTTGAGGCAGCAGAGCAATCAGTAAGGCAGGACACCAGGGTTTGTTTGCATGTCTATTGTAGGAGGGATCATCTGCCACAGCTTTCCTGAGGCTCCGTGGGAAAGTGCGCAGGGACTTTCGGGGCTCAACTGGTGACTCCTTTGCTGTTCGTAGTATCCTGTTGAGAGGAAAACATCCCCTTTTTCTTTTCTTTCTTCCTTTCTTTTTTTTTTTTTTAAACCAACCCTGCTGTCAGGAATCTAACGAAACCCTTCTCCAGTCTGTTCTCTTCCACTGCATTCATTACCCCTGTCCTATGTTGTCCAGTACAGTTTTATAACACACACCCACATCCGTGTTCATATCACACATGTGCTTTTGTGCATGACACGGCAGACGTGTCATGTTCTTCTGAGGCTATGCACATACGTAGACTGTGATGGGAAAAGGAACGGGACATGGTGGGAAGGGTGTTCATGAAGGATGTAATGAAGCATGAGGGTGGAGGCACTGGGTTGGTTTATAGACTCCTAGGGGCAAGAGGGGGGGCACGCTGCAGGATCTCCCCTTCCGCTCGAGCCTTACGTCCAGAAGTGTGGCTAACGCCTGCCCTCTGGCTGAAGCCCTGTGTTTGTCCTAGAGACCAGTGCCCAGTGCCAAGCACCCTGGAGACCACTCTGCCCAACTGCGCTGTGTCTCTCCCAGGGTAGGGATGGAAGTCAAGAAGGAGGGAGATCAAGTGGAAACCTGTCCCAACCCCCTAAGGGGTGCACAGAGCTGGGGCTGGAGCACACAGAGGCACTGGGGAACCATGGGAAACACCAAAACCGGTTTGGATGGAGCAAATGGGGTATACCTAAGCAGGTGCCGGCTGGTTGTCTCTGTCTGGTCCTATAGACCAGCCCTGAATGGAAGAGCACCTCATGCCACCATGTCTGGGCCTGAGCTCCATCTGTATGTACTAGCCCAGTGGAGGGGCAGCACCTACCAAGTCCAGGCCCTGGGGGCTATCATACAGGGAGCCTCCTTCTGCAGGTACCATGACCTACGTCCAGTTTCTCTGCTATGGACAGATGATAAAACATCTGGGTGCTCAGGTGGCTCCCGTCTGCAGATGTCTTACAAGAGGAGAAAATGAGGTGTTGGCCAGTGTGCTACACTTAGAGTCCCTGAGGTAGGAGATTGCCCCTCCTCAGCCTGGACTGCGTCTCAGCAGGAAGAGCACTTCCTGTGCCCTGCCCTTGTAGCATGCAATGGGGGAGGGGTGAACAGATTAAATATATCCATGGGGGAGCAGAAGTCAGACTGGGCCCACAGTCCCCAAGTATCGTCTGTCCCTCCTTACCTTTTCTTTCTGGTCCAGGGTGGGCTGAAGGTGGGATGCAGCTGCGGCTGCTTCATGCTGCATGAGGTCATGCCACACACACACACACACACACTCCAGAGACATTCCCTACTGTAGGCACCAGCATCTGAACACGACAGCTCCACGGTCCACCTCTGGAATTGCCCTGCGTGTATGCCCGTCTGAAAGGGCCCTCATGTCATGGACAAAGAACTGTATGGCATTAACAACTGGAACCCACCCAGCCCAGTGGACAGATTCGAGAATTGGGCCCAGCCCTGTGGGCAGGTCTTTAAGTAAGATATATCTGGACATCCCAGGTTGTTGGGGGCAGGGTGCACATCTGGAATAGGCCTAGCCACTTGCCGCAGTGGAAGGGGCCTTGCCCTCTGTCTCCATGTTCTGGAGTTGAAATTCTAGAGCTGAGGTATATGTGAAGTCACAGAATTGTTTTAGGTAGAAGGCTAATGTTCTGTACAATATATATATGAATGTAAAATATATATATGCTTATATATATATATGCACAGTGTATATATGACCCACAACCCCTGTGTATAAAACCCTTCCCTGCACGTCTGCACACAGTGTACAGAACCCAGCCAGTGTGGGTGGGGACCCAGTGAGAGATGGGGGCTGCAGCAGAAAAGTCAGGTTTACTTATCCAGCCCTCTGGAACAGGCTTTTGCCGGCATCAGTATTATAGAGCGTGGCAAAGAGGACAGACTAGTGTGGAGCTGGCAGGTGAACTGGGGAAGGGGCAGCCATGGGTGAGAGTCTCCACCTGCGAGTCTCTAAGGCAGGGCAGCGGGCATGTCTGGGAACATGGTCCTTGGTCCTTTTGGTCCTTGATCCTGAGCCAACATCACAATCGATCCTCCGTATCTAGTGCTAGGGAGAAGAGTGAGGAAAGGAGGGGAGTCTGTGCCCCAGGCCTACCCTTACACCTGCCTACAGAACAGCCTGGAAGGCGTCAGGCTGCATCTGAAACATCCTAGATGTCAGAGGACCCTGGGTGGCCAAGGTATGCAAGTTACCCACAGCTCATGGCGAGAGTGAGTCTCTTTTGAAGAGAAAGGCCCGAGGGCACTGCTGACATGCCCATTCAGCACCCTGATAGCCCAGTTATGGATCTGGCTCTCGTTCTCCTGCCTTCTAGAATAACGGTCCTCAAATCACCCCATAGCTTTCTGTTGTACTTTTCTAGACCAAAATTCTGAGGCCTCCCAGTGGAAGGAAGAACTATAGATTCAGTAGTTAGAGGGTAGCCAAGAGGCTGCCCCGTTCATTCTGACACAGTGCAAGATGTGAGGGAATTATCAAGGAACCAGAGAGACGGGAGATGAGAGATTCAAGAAGGTGGCACCTGACCTTGCACAGCCCCTTACCGTCTGCCGGTCCTTCTCTCTGTTGCTTCTTCCAAAAGAGGGCAGCTGGCAGCGAGCCCTTGACAGGCAGGCCACAGACCTCTGTCCCTGCCTCACCTGGATCTGTCTATTGCCGGTAATTTGAGGCCTTCAGCCCCTTCCTGGGTCCAAGCATCGGCGCTCGAGTGTGCTGGGGAGAGGAGACTCGGGTTTTGCTTCTGTGTGGTCTGCAGCCTGCCCTCTGCTTCAGCCCCAGCCCTCAGGCCGCCTGCACTTAAAGGCCAGGCCCGCTCCTGCAGCCACGGCCAAGCGCATCTAAATCCAGCCGCTGAGGAGGGTCCTGACCTGGCTCCATAGAGACCAGAGGCTCCAGGAGCCCTCACGCCACTGTGCTCTGAAACCCCAGCCCATCCCTGCCTGGGCTGACTTCCTGGCTGGGCCTCCGTGGTGGGGACCTCAGCTCCCAACTCCTAGGCTGAGCCCCCAGACAGCACCATGGGACTCCAAGAGCCCTGGCCTGTCCCACTACCCAGACCAGAGTGCCTGGACGCCCCCCACCCCCACTCCCACTCAACAAGGTTCCCACACACTGGTCTCTGGGCCATTCAGGGGGTGCCCTTTGTGGACATGCAGAATTTCTATGAATATAGTTTTTTGTAAACATTTTGTAACAATTTGGGTTTCATAGTAACTGTGTTACTTGCCAATCATTCTAAGCTGATGTAAATAAATTTCCAAACAAATCTGATTATTTTCCTTTTTAAGACACTGTGATATATCAAAAGTGCACAGTTTGCTGTATGAAGTAATATGGTTTTAAATTTTAAATAAATGTTTTTAGAAAATGGGTTCCTCCTGAGGTATGTTTTCTGTTCTTCATCTCCCTTCAGAACCAGAGGTCACAGGCAGTTCATGCTGGCCATCTTCCTCCCAGGAATGACAGTTTCCAGGGAAGGAGATCCTGTGCTGAGCAGGTAGCTGTTTCCAGCCCAGGCTCCTGGTTCCATTTCAGACATCAAGGCCACAATGTCACCTGGCTGATCTCTGTCATGCCACCCACCCCCTACCCCACCCCCGTCTTGGGCATGTGCCTCTACAGCTCACCATCATCACAGGTTCTGAAGGAGCCGCTGTATCCCTAGGTGACCCTGTCCCTTTGGTTGTAGTTGATGAGGTCAGATGAATGAGTGACAAGAGGTTTGCTAGTCAGATCTCACCCGAGCTATTCTCGGCTGGGAGGGAGAAGACCCTGTAGGTTACTCTCTAGGAATGGAAATGCGATGTACAAGTTCAGAGTGATTGTTTTAAGCAGGAAGAATTGGATGTCAGAGGAAGAGATGAGGAGCAAGACCAGCGTGGGGGGGCGGGGGGAGGGGGTAGGAATGGTTCCCAAGACAGCACAGAGCTGGTCCAAGTGGAGAGCCATCTCCTTCCTCTAAACCTGGCACAAGAGCTTGGAGGGAGAGACACAGGAGTCACAAGCCAGGCTTCTAGAAGTCTCGATTAAAAAGATGCTACCATCACAACCCTGTTATAATTGCATCTCACTGTCCAGGAAGCTGGAGGTGGGGAGTGGACGGATGCTGCTAACACTCTCCAGTTCTCAGGACAACACATTCCAGATGGGAGCGAGAAGGGGGTGTCTGCACCCCCTCTGCAGTGAGAAGGGGTGCCTCTCAGACTCACACAGATAGACTCACTTAGAGACTGAGTTCCCTCAGAACCCTCCACATTGCTCGATGATGTGGTCAGAAAACAGCCAATGCGTGCCGAGGGTTTCTCACTGGGCAGGCCTGCCCTAAACTCTCCAAATGGGTAGACTCGTGTTAAGCAATCAAGCCTGTGTAATTGTAATTCCCAGGAGAGTGGCTATGACTGAAGCAGTCGGCTCAGGTGGCCACTTGTGGTCCCAGCATCTGTGCCCTAAGGAAAGAGAGAAGTCACTGAGTGTAGTCATGAGACATAGGCTTATAATTTTAGAGGGACTGGAAGATCTGGAGAATCCCAGAGGCTGTGTGGACTGGCAGCATCCTGAAACATTGGCCCTCCTGCCCCATGACCAGGCAAGGGTCAGGCAAGACCCCAACAATCTCAGTGGAAGGAGAAGCACCTGTTACCTGTGGACTACAGTGCCAGAGAACTCTTGTTAAACCTGGAGCTACAGCCAGGCAAGAAGGCACAGAAAGATCCTGGATCGAAGGATGTCTGTCCATCATCGGGAGAAGTCCCAGGGGTGAGCCTACCAGGCTTCGAGGAGGGCTCTAGGTCCAGCAGAGAGTGAGGAGAAAGGAGGCCATGGTAGGGGTCAGGGAGAGAGAGCAGTGACTACTCATCCATCTATTGAAGACTTTAACATTCCACGCAAGAGTTCTGGTCCCTACTGCAGGTGTGACCTTGAGCAAACAGCTGCGTACCCTCAGTTCAGTTTCCTCGTCTGTGAAACGCATGATTATAAGGACTGTCCACTCGGAGTGACGGTGTAAACTGCTTGTCACAGGCCCAACCTGCCAGAAGCCAACAATATACGAACCTTCTTCTCTTCGCCCAAGGCAGCCAGGACAGATGGCATGGACTCGGAGTGGGGTGTGAGTCTCAAATCCTCCCGCCCCTGCCTTGATTTTCACAGGTGGCTGCACAACTCACAGCTTTGGGGTGGTTCTCCTGTGGAATGTCCACTTTGCTGCCTTGGGGAGCTCACGCTGACAGGAAACAAAAGATTCAAAAGCGGAGTTGAGAGTGAGCTGTGAGAGGGCTGTTCTCACGGGGCCTTTCTGACCCTCAGCCAGGCCCCGGTTCCTTGCTCCTGTCCCCTGTGAATGCCCAGGAGCAAGCCAAGGAGAGGAAGTCAAGGCTGGGCCACTGGGACTACAAGCTGGCCTGGATCCTGCCCGCAGGGCCTTAATGGTTCTTCCTCGGAAAACAGAGGCTGAGTGTTTAAGAAGCATCTGTCATTATGGAAACAAAGTTGCCAGGCCATTTTTTTCTTTTCCTATTTTTACTGCGGGTTCATTATCTTATGCAAATGAGGCCGCTGATGAGGCCTTTCTGCTGGGTGGCCCATGCTGGGACCAGCTCCACCAAGGGGATTTATTGTCTGCCTCAACTCCAGACACAGGACCCAGAGTGTGAAGACCCACAGAGATGGTTTCCGGAGCAGCAATCCCAACCTGAAAGAAGCCTTCCTCTGTACCCAAAGCAAGGCCCTGGACAGTTCCTGGCATGTCGAGATCCTTAACCTACAAAGGCCTAACTCAGTCGCACAGGATTCTGAGATCGCTCAGACTCACCGATATCCAGAGCCTAGCAGACTGAGTGGCCAGCCCCAACACAATAGAAGGAAGACAAAATACCATGAGAAAGGTGCAGTGTGAGCCTGTCTCTGGGACAAGGCCTTGGGCAGACAGCATAGACCATGTGACATAAGAGTTCTCAACTCCAGGGCAAGAGAGCTGGGGTGTGCAGCCACGAAGGTCCTTACCGTCTTGGCTGGCCCCCAGAGCCCGCCAATCCCAAATACTTGTGGCATACCGTTAGGTGGCAAGGGAACACCCTGAACCAGGACAACGCCTCAGGCAGGGCATGGCTGCAGGAACTGTAAGCACAGGAGATGTGTGCTGACGGCATCTGCTGTGGGGTCATTTTATTGATGAAGAAACTGAGGCTCAGAGAGACCAGTGACTTGCCCGAGTCTGGGGAACAGGTTCAGAGACTAACTCAGGACTCTCTGCCTCTTCAAATCGAACGGCCCACAGCACCTCAACCCCCTTTAGGCTCCCTGCTGCTCACAGCTCAAGGATCAGGTCGCTTGCCTGGCCCTCCCCGACTCCTACAGTGGCTGGCTCTAGGCTGTCTCCCGGGCCATCTTCTCAGTGATAAACGTGTTGACAAAGCACACATTCTCCCCAGGGAGCCCAGCAGCTTCCATGTGCAGAGAACATTTTCTTCCAGAGACTGTGAGCCTCTGTCGGGTCCCCAAGCCTCCAGCCCTGACTCTCGCTTCCTTGTGAGGACCAGCTTCCTCTGTGTATTCAATGACGTCGTCTCTACCCCTCATAACACAGCTGAGCCAGGCTAACTTTATAACGAAAAGAGGCTTATTGGTCTCACAGTTTGGAAGTTCAGAGGCATGGTGGCTGTATGTGGGGGGGGGGCCTCACCCGGCTTCAGTGAGGGCCGGTCAGCTACATGACATCATGGCCAATGGCATCGGCGGGAATGGGGGTGGGGCAGCAAGGAGTCACATTGAGCACGAAGGCAGGAGCTCTTAAAACAGCCCACCCATAGGAACTTCCCAGGGATACGCCCCCAACTGACCTACATCTTATCTTTTAAAGGTTCCACCCCCAACATAGCCACCCAAACCCTGACTCCCAATACATGACCCTCTAAAAACACATTCAAGCCGTAGCACCCTTCTTTGCTACAACTCAGTCTCTGAACTGATAACTCATGTCCTGGAACAGGAACACAGGCAAGTATTTCCCAGGAGCCTTCTAAGCACTGCACCCTGGGTGGACACGTTCCTCTGCCGGCAGCTCAGACCCTCACCACATTTCCCAGAGGCTGGGCAATGGTGAAATGAAAGACAGGAAAAAAACAGAAGTTTCCCGATCCTCCAGCTGAGGGTGGAGGAGGAGATTACAGCAGTCTCAAGACCCAATGAATGTCACCAGCTCTGTGCCCTCTGCCTGACCTAGACTTCTAGCCCTGAAGATCCAGGGACACTCGGAATCCCCTCCTGTCTGACGGTAGATCTAAGAGCTCTTAGTGCCTAACGCGATAGCAGGAGGGCTTGTCACAGATGATAATATTAAATTAATTTTGTGGCCACTAGTTGAGGCCCCTGCATGCCACCACTCACGAGATTTTCACATCACTCTGAGCTCTGGGATCGCATCCCCATACTGCAGATGTACAAAGGGCGAGAGAAGAATCTCCCACAATAAGAAGGGGACCTCCAGTCCGAGGCCTCTGTTTTGTAGACGTGGCGAAGGAGAAGCTAAATGAACAAAGGAATGAGCTGGAAAGCGGTCCCCAGCAAGGCTGTTTCGATACCATACAGAGGAGGGGGGAATAAAATCCAAACTTGATTAGGCCCAAAAATGCGAATTACTAATTACAGTCACTCACAGGAACGACCTACCATTTATGCCTAATTGCAGTGCAACCCAATAACAATTATGCACATCAATAAATGTGTCAGATTAACTTGGTTGCAAGTTTTATTTGATCACTGACACTAAACCCCATTTACTGGTTGTTACAACTTGGGTGGCTGTGGCCACCCTGCCTGGTCCTGCCGGTCATTTCCAGCGCACCAAGGACTTTGAGGCTGGAAAGGAAGTAGAAGGTGAAAGGGGAAGGAAATGGCTCCTTCTTTCTCTACCGGAGGAAGCCGGTTGGGTCTGGCGAGCTCTGAGAGAGCGGTTCAGCAGGGGGTCTTTGCAGGGTGTGCAGACCCGCATCCCAGGCCTCCCCTCCCTTCCTCGATGCCAAAGGCAGCTTCCTAATTAGAACATCCATAACCCTCAGCATCTGCTCCAAGAGAATTCAGCTGCTGCTCCGAGACGGAGAAGTCCATTAACTTTATTGCACAGAACGTCAGACGTGCTTCTAGACAGAGCATCACTGCCAAGTGAGATAAACTACCCGGACTTGCCAGAGGGATGGGCCTCAGCTGGGTCCTCGGGACTCTCTCTTCACTGTCCAATGCCCTAGGTAGTCATATCATGCTACCCTGGGAGGAGGCAGCCAGGAAAACGGTGACTTCCAAACACAGGTGCAGCCCACGCACCCAGCCATCACTGCGCAAACCCGCAGTCTGCTGGATGACAGCCCCAGACAGCTCC